GTTCTAAGCTTGGTGTGGTCGTGCATAGGAATAGTAATCCTCGCCTCTTCCCATTTGGTCGTTATACCAGGTTCGCTTGCAAACTGGGCAAGGGTGGAAGTGAATTTTTTGTTGTATGCGTCGTACTTGTGCTCAGTTATCCTCCTTTTAAGCGATCTATTGGTTGAGCCAACGTATGTTAGCTTCTTGCACGGGTTAGATCTGCCGTCCTCCAATGGGACGGTGTAGACTCCTGGTCTCCTGGCTTCGCTGCATTTGTCCTTGGTGTTAGCTAGAAGTTTATAAATCGTAGGGTTGCGTCTGTATGCGAGAGTAGCGTTGACCTTTTTTGCTATGAAGTTATAGGCCTGGCTCATTCTAGGCCTGATAATCTTAGAAATAGTTCTAGCTACATATGCATAGTAGTGATTGTGTATTGTCACATATAACAATTTAATGTGATATTTAGGAGTTTGTTGTAACTAATCATTTTAAAAATTGATTTAATTGCTTAAAATATAAAATTATTTATTATAATAATATAATTCCAAATGTAGAAAACTTTAAATTTACTTTTAACAAACAAAAATTCCAAAAACAAATTTTTAAGGAAAAGAAAATGCACATTATTTATAGAAAATAAGTAAAAAAATGTATAAATCCATTTTATTTACAATATTGTAATGTAAAAGTTGCATTTATTTCAAAAAAAAAAAGAAAGAAAAAGTTCACTCATTGAAACATGAGCCAGCAATTACACAATTATCAGTCAGGCACACTTCTGTTATGAGGTCGTCATTAAGATTCTTCTAAGCATACTGATAAGTCATTCAGGATTTTTTAACTTCCATTTTCTTGAAAATATTTGAAATGTATGCTTTCTCCCTTTGTTCAATAAAGGTTCGTTTGTACACAAACAGTATTATTGAAATATGTGGGAACCACGTTGCAATCTCCCTTTGTTAGATAAGAAATACACACTGATCATAATTAAAGAATACATGTTCGGAGCTATCTGCAGAAAGTACTCTTGGACAAATCTCCACCAAATTTAGTACAATGGACTGTCCTGAGTATGCACTTTTGATTTTCATAAAAAAATTTCACTTTAAAATTTGGCACTGCTGTTCTGTTAATGTGCATATTATATAATATTTTCTAATGAATTTCAGGAGTTAGGAAACAAAATGCAATAATTTTATTTCAATTACATCAAAGGCTCTGTGCACTCTCCATCTCCATGTTCTAAAAACTACATTTACTGCACAACATACAATGGTGGAATACAACTGACCCATGTAGAGTTGATGCACATGTTGTAAAATTGTCTTTTAAGACAATTTGCAGGGAACATAGCTTGATAAATGAGGGTCTTTAGGTAATCCCATAACCACAGCTGGTGCCAGTTCACAATACTCTTTATGTGGTACGATCCAAAAGTTCGAGGACTGCAGTAATGTATGACAACAAAAGCATGTATTTGAAGTTAGCGTATGAAATTGATTCTATCAAACCTTTCCTATGTGTTCAGGTTGGTTTCGCCCATGTCACGTGATTAAACGCGAGCGTGTTATTTTCTTTCGGGGATAGTTGCCTTTGTTTTGTAACGTAATAAAAACGGAGTTTCAAGAACAGCGCTGCAACATTAAATTTTGTCAGTGTTTAGGTAAAACACCTACGGAGACTTTAAAATTGCTGAGAAAGGTGTACGGTGATTTTAACATGGCGAAATCAAAGGTGTACAAATGGCATTGGCATTTTAAAGAGGGCCGAGAATCCATCACAGATGATGAATGCTCTGACTGACCTTCGACTTCACGGAACGAGAAAAATGTTGAGTTGGTCTCTCAATGTGTTCGCAAAGATCATCACCAAACCCTTGAAAAAATCACTGCGGCTACTCACTTATCAAAGACTAGTTGCCAGCGTATTTTAACGGAAGATCTTAACATGCACTGAGCAAAGGAAAAGTCATGATGGAGGTGTTTTTTGATTCTCAAGGAATTGTTCATTCAGAATTTATTCCCGAAGGTAGAACAGTAAACAAGGAGCATTATCTAGACATTTTATGTTGTTTGAGGGAATCCATTCGTCGTAAATGGCCACAGATCTGGCAAAGTGGAGACTGGTACCTTCTGCATGGCAATGCACCTGCACATCGGTCCCAAATGGTCAACAGTTTCTCACCAAAACTCAAATTAATGTGCTTCCACACCCTGCCTATTCACCGGACATAGCCCCGTGTGATTTTTATTTGTTTCCATCAATGAAAAAGCATTTGCAGGGACACCATTTTGTGTCATCAGATGAGGTGAGAGCAGCATTGCAGGAGGCCTTACGGGAGGTTTCAAAAAATGGCTTCCAGAAGTTATACGAATGCTGGCAAAAGTATTGTTGCCCAAGGTGATTACTTTAAAGATGGTTATGCATCGGCAATATAAACTTTTTAAGGTAAGGAATTTTAAGCCAAGTCCCCGAACTTTTGGATCNTAAACGATGTAGTCCTTCACAGCACGCCAGCAGTGAAGGACTCAACAGTAAAGACGAAATTGAAACGCTAACTAGTAGTTCTCCCAGGGTCTAACACGGATTCCGGATTCGTGCGTTTCTAAACAATATTAGGTTGACGGAAATAAGGTCACGCAACACGTAGGTGATCTGTCAATGGTGAAGTGCTTCCTGAGAGGACTTATTATGGGAAACTGGTTTCTATTTAAGTGTTAGACAAGTGAAAAAAGTCGCGGGTAGTCCCTTGGTGAGGAGAGAATCCGTGACCAATAGACTAGAACCATCCACTAAACTCTTTGTTCAATGGATAAAACTGAATCATTGGTAGTGTTCAGTGGTTTTATCCACTCGATGAGGGTACCGGACGGGGCCCAATATATGTGAAAAGGGTCGATCATAAACAATTCTTGGAGAGTGTTAAGTTATACCTTAACCGCTTCGGCCATCCAGCCATCAATATTATTGATAAAATTTCAAAAAGGACCATTCGAAAAGAAGAAAATAAGAATGAAACCAAACTCTGGTAGAAACTATATGCTTCCAAGCTGCTATTTAATCATTATATTTAAATGTTTATTATTTATTTTTTTTTAATTTTGAAATGTTAAACCTAAATTTAAGAAAAGGGCACAAGTCATCATTTTACGTTTACTTTGCTTAATACCAAATTACAGAATTAAGAAATTGGAGTAGCAAAATATTCACTACTTTCTTTGGTTTCTGCAGTTATTTTTCATTTTTTGAATAAATAAACTTTCAAAGATACAGTATTTTTATTATGTAAAATGGCATATTTCTATCTCCATTGGATTCCCACAAAGATCATCAATTAGTATTCAACTATTAGTCATTTAGAATTTTAAAATCCTTTCCTTGCAAAATTAACATTTTTTTTAAAATTACGCTACTATCAAAGATATGGGCAGAGTCGGTAGATTAACCGACTCTGATATGGGAAACGATATATTAATGCTCTCGATGAGGAAAGACAATATATTAATTTAAAACTATAATAGTTAATTTATTCATATTAATATAATAATAACGATTTCTATAATTAATAATATAATTTAGTTAATTTTAGTGTATCTAGTTTCAAAAGTAGAATATACAGAAATTAATGACAAATCAGCAATATATTAAGTTTTGGTTGGCAACAGTTTAATTTACTTGTATTCTTACTCCCTCTAGTGGTCGGATAATCTATTATAATAAACAGATTCGGTGACATGTATTAAGTGAAGGAATGTATTGTGGTTATGGATAAGCTCAATCATGATCAAGAAGAAATATGTGCAGATTTAAATTGTACAACTAGTAAAACTGATATGAGAGAGCGTTTTAGCTTTCCTGAAGAAAATACTTTGTAAGTTCAGAAATTTCTGAGAAATTAGAAAGTAGTTCTGAACAAATCATGTTTCAATGCTTTTTTTCAATTCATTTTATTATTATTAGAGAATTTTGGTTCAGTTGGAGAAATTTTCTTTCCAAATGGATAGATCAAATCTGAATATCTGAAAGGCCAAAACATGTCAGATCCTTAACACTGGTTATTTCTATCTCTAAATTTTCCATAGGCTGTTTTCCAGTATGGTTTTGCCATTACTGTAATTATCTATGATTATTTATTATTACAAAAAGGATTAAAAACTCCTGTTTTTACTCACAAACTTCGTATGAAAACAATTTTACATGATTGATTTTTCCTTGTGTTAGAATTTTATGTAATAAAATGGTTTCGAATTATTTGGGAGGGACGTGTCGATGGTTATATCCCGTGTGTAGAGTTGTCATATGTCTGATTTTTTTGAATTTGTTGTATTTGGAACGTTTTGTCCTGATTGGAAAATTTTTTCAAATATGCCCATTTCTACCTTAAAATGTTCTTATTTGTATTAAAAAAAGTCAAGTAGGAATTGTTAGTGTTATGTGTTTTGGTGTTGTTAATGTATATGCCACCTTTAGTCATGTGCTTGCCTTTAGAAATTGGTATGTGCATTGTGTTTTTTTTTCTTTTTTTTGCCTTATATGTGGCTGTGAGATGGCCTCAAGAGAGACCATTGATAATTGATAATAATGGATTCTTGCAATCATTGGTAAGATATGGCTTCTGAATTGCACCCACAGAATTACAGACCCCTGTACAAGCAAAAAAGTCAACGAACTATATCTATACATACAATCCTTTGCAAGATACTCATTCCAAAGTTCAGCTTTTACTGTGAACAAGTAATACTGCCTAATCTCCATGCAGAGCATCAGGCAAGGCACATACTAACTTGTGCCTTGATCTGCTCTGCATGTAATTGTGCACTTCAGTGTCACTCACACCTCTGTGCCCATGTATAGGCAACCCCACACCCCCTAAAACTATAACATCAAGTATTTCATGAACAGTTAAGTGGGCTACTCAAAGCCAGGATAATAACAGCTAAATAGTTAAATAGAGCAATGCAACTCCCAATTGTGTGCAGCCTGGAAGTAGGCTGATTTCAGGGGGCTGTATCTCGTGAAGGGTAACAAGGGTATTCTTTTGAATTAACAACTGTTACTTTACAACTGGTTAATATTAGACAAAAATAAACACTGTAAAAACTTAACAAACCAATGAGAAAATGATAGACAAAATGTGAACGTTTTCACCAGTGTTAAACAGGCATCGTCAGGCCACAAACTGCTGAGAAGACAGATTTGCCAAAGACGTGTGTAGGTGGAAAGGGTGTATGAAGTAAGAAGAGAGGAGGGGTTTATATTTTATAGCAAGACTTCCAGGAAGTGGAAAGTCTGGAAATATAAACTCTGCCTGAAAGACTTTCTATGAAATATAAACCCTCCTCCTCTCTTATGTCATACACCCCTTCCCCCTACATATGTGTTCGGCAATCCTGTGTCTTCTCAGCAGTTTGTTGCCTGATGATGCCCATTTAACATGGGCGAAAACGTTTACATTTTGTGTACAATTTTCTTGCTGATTTGTTAGGTTTTTGCAGTGTTTTTCCTTGTCCTTTGACCTTTTTTACTCCTAAATCTACAGCTCTGATAAGATCCTAACTGTCTCATTCAGAGGTGTAACTGTACTCAATCATAAATATTGAAATCAATGGTTATGTCTGGCCATAGTGTAGTTATTATTATTTTATATTCTTTCTGCTCTGTGGACACTAAAAGGACCTCTGTTTTTGTGTCCATCATGGGTTTTGCCAGTTATGCAATGGAAAACCTGGTTTTCTAACAAAAACTTTGTTGAAATACTATAAGTCAAACAAATATTGATTTAATGTGTAATAAAAAATGTTCAATAATTAATAATTCAATAAAATTAGTTTAATTAGAATTATTCACTTCTTTTCCAGAGTAGCTACTGCCTATCTAATGTGGGTACCCTTTGATATTTATCTCGTCTCTATGGTTTTGAACTTAAGGCAACCTTACCTTTGCACTTCTCTTTCTAACATGGCAATTCTTAATCTTTGCACAGGCATATTTTAAAGTTAACTGCCATATTACAAGATATTTAATAAAATAATGCTTCTGACATTCATATGTTATACTGATTTATTTGATCAGAGACATATAAGGTTAGTCTGAAATGCACTTGTTCTGGGCACTAGATGGGAAAAAGTGCTATGAACTTTTAATAGATAGTAAATAATTTTAAAAATATGTCAACAGAACATTAAATGTTATGCTAATATTAATATTGAAATTGTTAAAAAGTTATTTTAATCATTATTAATACATATTGTCAATAAGTGTATAATTGCATATACAGGTATAGGACAAAATAATAGGAACACCTGTGAAAGAATGCAAAATATTTATTAGTAGGGAGTTGGTTTATTTCTCAATCCCAGGTCTGATACAGCTTGTATTAGACTTGGGATTGAGAAATAAAGGTCGTGCAGAAAGTTTAAGGGAATTCGCAGCCATTCCTCCTGCAAAGCGGTCTCGAGTTCAGGTAGTGTGCATGGAGGAGGAAACCAAGCATGGACTTTGTTCTCTAAAAAACCCACACAGGCTCAATGATGTTGAGATCAGGGGACTGAGGACACCACGTGAGATGTTCCTCTTCATCATTATGCTCATCCAACCATGTTTGAACACAGCGAGCCGTGTGTACAAGGGTGTTGCCATCTTGGAATAGAGAACGTTCTCCAGGAAACAGAGTACGAAGCATAGGGTGTAAACGATCTGTGAGAATACTATGATAATGCTCGCCTCTGACCTTCTCCCTCAAGACTATGAGTAGCCCCAAGCCACGCCACAATATTGCTCCCCACAGCAGCACATAGCCCCCTCCATGCTTCATGATAGGAACCAGAAAGTCAACACAAAATGCCTCTGCTGGTATTCACCAGACAAACACACATCCGGTGGTCTGAAATAATGTAAATGATGATTCGTCAGACTAGATGACCTGTTCCCATTGCTGTTGTGTCCAGTTTTGGTGGTCTTGGCACCACTGTCATTGTTTCATAGCATTCTGTGGTGACACTAATGGCTTTGGGATGGCTACTCAGTCATGAATGCTTGCAGCATGCAGCTCTCGTTGAATAGTTTTGGTGGATACAGGGTTCTGGAGATGGGTGTTCATCTCAGAGGTTATCTGCTGCAGTGTAGTCTTATGCTTTTGGGCAACTATCTTCTTCAACACTCATCTATCCCGGTCGGTCAACTTTGACTTTCACCCTCTGTTCTGCTTTGCAGAAGATACCTTTCCCAGTTTTGTGTAGACTGTCATAACCCTTGACACAGTGGACCTTGAAACACCCATAAGGTTGGCTGTTCTAGACATGGATGCTCCAGCGAGGCATGCTACAATAATCATGCCTCTTTGCACGTCGGACAGGTCGGACATAATGGTGCTTTGCTGGGAACAGAATTTTCTCATGCAACTGTCACACTGCCAAATGCTCAACTGATACCTTTCCTTTCACCGCCACTGGATGGCAGACTGTTGCAACACGTGGTGTGGCTGTATTGGATGGTCGAAGTACAACACATTTCAAAAGAGGTGTTCCTATTATTTTGTCCTATACCTGTATATTACAGGTGATGCAAATATGTCTCTGTACTAACTACCGTATTTTCTGACGTATAAGATGACTTTTTAACCCAGGAAAATCTTCTCAAGTCTTATACACTGGGTGTCGACATATATGGCAAGTATATCCCAAACTCTATATTTTAACTGTAAAAGTCGGGAGTCGTCTTATATGCTGGAAAGTACGACAGTTTATGCTTAGCATCTAACTTCCACTACATTGAATATTCAATCACAAATGTTTTTGGCTTCATTCAGAGTCCCTCTTCAGATGAAATAACAAGAGTTATACAGTAGTTCTACTGAGCTCCCAAATGTTATAAGCTATTCAAATATACTGTTCTAGGCATTTAAAAAAAAATTTCCAATTGTTCAGTCAATAACAATTCGAATAATTCTCAAGGTGTTCTAAAATTTATTTTTGAAAAAATTGGATTGTATCAGGCTATTTATCAAATTTATCAGGTTTGAGTGATGTTTTGAAGGTATATATAAATATATATGGAATATTTATTTATCCATGAAAAGAATAACAAGTAATATTAAAAGAAATAAAGAAATATGAATTTACTTTTAGTATTCATTATTCATTTACTTGTGGATGTAACAAAGGTTGCCAGACATCCCGGTTTAAGCAGGATTATCCCAAGGCACTTACTGATAAATCCTGACACTATCAAAAATTCTGGACAACTTTACATATTTAAATCTTATACAAAACCAGAAAAGTCAAATTTTATATTTAAGAATGTATCATATCATATATAAGTTATAGTTAAATTCCATGCAAGTTTAGTTTGATTGTTGCCATTTCCACTTGCTAGTGATTCCTAAAATAGATATTGTAAGAACATTGTCAATTAATATTTTGCTGTTTATTTGTGACCCTTGGCTGTTAGTATCAACTGTCATAATTTGATTTACAATTTCGCGTGATTGGGTAGCATTCTCCAAAATAAAAGAGTTTGAATGAAACACTAGTATTAAGTATAATTTGATACTGAAATATGTAATACAAAGCTCAGTATTGATTCTTTTCTCTACTTACAAATTTTAAAATTTAGATTTTAAGAAAATGATATATTTTGAAATTGTCAANTGCTTGAAATTGTGTGTTGGGCTTTTGTCACAAATGTTCTCTTCTATCAGAGCCAAATATATTAAATTTACTATTGTCACTAAATAACACACACTTCCAAAAGTCTTCCGATTTTCCTATTCGTGATTTCACATATTCATGTGCAAATTCTAAACACTTCTTTCTACTGATTTTAAAAGTTGATGGTTTCTGTCTGGCAGTGCGTCCATAATAATTAACCCTT